TATATTCTTTTCTTTAGATATTGTCCTGTTTGACCTATGTATGTGTTATCACAATTCAAACAGTCTATTTTGTACATTACATTAGGCGTGTCTAACTTGTCAATCCTAGGTTTAAATTTTGTGAAACATTCATTTGCTAAGGTGTTTTTAGTTTTTTCTGCTATGTTGAGATTATGTGATTTGAATATATTTTTTATTTTTTTATTATATATTTTAAAATTCGCATTTTGCAAACCAAAGCACGTAACATTTTGGACTTTTTACCATACTTAGAACACACGGGGTTCGTTACATGCAGAATTTTACGAAAATTGCGGGGAATGCTGATTTTTACCAGAGGAGAAAATATCGGTCAAAATCGACGTTTGTATCCACCAGCGCTCTCTTTGAAAAAAAAATCGCATCTTCCAAACTAACGAACATAATATTTTGAAAATTTCCCCATTTTTAGAGGACATGTGACTTTAAAGCTGCGGAAAGTTTCATAAGAATTGCCTGGAATCATTTTCTTGGCTAGTTAAGTAAATTCCTGTGTGAAAATGGATGTTTATATCGAACTGTGCTTTTCTTTTGAAAATTCGCACCTTTCAAACTAACGCAATCAGCGTTTTGTGTTCATCACCATCGTAAAACGAACATTGCCTCTAAAGTTTCCGAAAGTTTCATACAAATTGCCTGGAAGCCTGATTTTTGCCAGTTTAGTAAACGGCGGCCCTGGATTTTACGCAGTTGGATGCTTGCAAGCTTGCTTAAGAGGACACTCACATCTAAAGCTACTCGACGTGTCATCAAAATCGCCAGCATTCCTGATTTTTGCCAGTTTAGTAAACACCGGTCTTATAATGGATGTTTGCATCCAATCTTTTAAAATAATTCGCATTTTTTTACTAGCTCAAACCGCATTTTGAAAATGGCACCACCGTAAGAAGACATTAGATTCTAAAGCTCCTAAAAGTTTCACACAAATCACCTGGAATCCTGATTTTTGCCAGATTCGTTAAAATCGCTCCCGAAATAGATGTTAGTTTTCATCTGCACTTCCTTTTTAAAAAAATCGCATCTGCCAATCATCCATCAGAAATGGTATTTTGAAATTCTCACAATCTTAAGAGGACACATGAATCTAAAGCTGGTAAAAGTTTCATATAAATCGCCCTCATTTCTGAATTTTGCCAGTTTAGTAAATCCCAACCAAACATTCAACTGCCGTCTCTCTTTAACAAAATAGCGTCTTTCAGACTAACACAAGTAGAATTTTGAAAATGTCACCATCTTAAGAAGCTTCAGAACAGACTTGACTCTAAAGCTACTGAAACATGTTTTTGTTTTTTGCCTAAATATAATATTTCAAGTGTTTCATCATGACTAAGTAAGTGATGATTTGGAAAAATCTTCGTAAATACGCTAAAACAAATTTGGCATTATTGAGTGATTCACGAATAAGTTCATGATTATCTAAAACTTATGATCAAATTCGATTGTTTCGCTACTGAGTTGCAAAATCATCCAAATAAAATAATTGAGAGCAATGATTATTTTTTTATCGCTTATCGAGCGAGCGTATAAAACAGCTTGAGGGCCCTTCCAGCTTCGGCTCACTTCAGGAAGTTTTAGCGCGACGGAAAGCAAATCACTTAATCTGAAACAAAATAAATAATAGCCGTATTAAAGGCTTGTAAACGACTCAATCTACTTAGCAACAATCCTTCCTAATATCGCCATTAACACGCAATGTTTATTTGTCGATCGCTGAAAGATCAAGTAGAGCCTTACTGTAGTCTCAACTACTTCCTTACTCTCTAATTTACATAGACATGTCAGAGGCGTGCAACCACAAGCAAATTATTCGGCAATATCTAGAGGCAAATATGAGCGAAAAGGATGCAAATGGCTCTGCCACTGGCTTCTGCTCAATAAAATCCACATTTTCCGAATTCGCTTTCACGAATTTATATGAGCAATACGCCTCATTTATGCCAGAGTCATAAAAATTCACCACACTTGTGTGGACGTTACTTATACTATTTATGATTGGGATTTGCTACTAATATGCAGCCGGGGTCAATACTCCAAGCGGTCAGCATTTGTGCGAATTTCAGATAGTAACGTGCAACGCCCGCTTCATATACATTTTGCAAAGGTTTACATCCAGATAATCTTGCAGAGTTTAGCGTACTTTGAGTTCTAAATCAAGATTAATTTGCAACTTTAACATGGTTAAGATGCTAAATGTAACAGCCAAGAACCAGCTTACCAAACAAGATCGCTTCCAAAAAATGTAAACACAGAAGAACAATCAACACTATTACACTATTAAACACATTGCGAAGAACATTTTGCTTATAATTCCATATCTAAGTACAAATACTATAAGAATTTGTTCCCATGGTTTTTGGACTATGTTAAGGTTTTATTTATTAATTATACTCAAGGTATCCAAAAATTATATTTCGGACAAACATCTTTTAGCATTATAAAGGATTTTCGACAGAACTGTATTTTATCAGTAGTTTTGCTTAGCACTGGAAAACAATGAAAAGAAGCGTAGTGAACGGCGAGAACAATGTGGGTTAAGCCGATGACACCGTCCTCTTAGCAAACAAGTGAATTGCA